ACGGCCAAACTGCAGGGCAGAACTCAGAGGCAGAAAGAGAAAAAAAGGCCCTTGATTCACAGGAAGGAATAGAAGGCATTCTCCAGAAGGACACCTAAATAAGCACTGTTCATTCAAGGAAAACATTAGTCTTCAGCGGTTTTCTTCCTCTCCTTTCCTTCCTCTCTCCTTGCTCTAGCACTAGCTCTTCATCTTCACCTTCAGCATTTGAATTGTGCTATACGAATGAGGATGCCCCCGCTAGGTGCAGAGCCATGGAGAGCAGAATTAAGGGAGACTTTGAAATATCTCCATACATTCCTCACCATTCACATGTTTCAGTTAAGAAGAATACAACTTGCATATCGGTGAACCAGTGAACATTTTTTGAGATCACTTGCCATCCCCTGTCTCAGAGATCAGGCTCTGTGAGGTAGCACAGACAAGGGCTGGGAGCTCAGCTCGGTTCCCTCTGTGGCCCTTGGTATTGGGTCACCTCGCCAGAATACAGATGGATACACAGGTTTATGAAGTGAGCAGCACCCACCTCACACCTTTTACACTAATCCACAAAAGAGTTGTGTTTAGAACACTGCACACACCTGCGTGATACAATGTATGCCCTAGGTGGCTGAAGAATGGAAATGGGCAGACCAGACGACAAAGATGAGGCATCCCTTGGGGATGCTGCTCTATGAATGTGTCCTGAACAAAATCCATGTGCCATAGCTTCCACTTCTAAGAAGGGTGACGTGCCCAGAACCAGACAGGCTTACTCATCTGCCTCTAATCTATGATGCACACGCAGATCTCGGTTAAAAGCTCTCCAAGAGCACACACACTCACACACACTTCCATACGTCCTTCTGATATTTGAGGCACAGAAGAACCACATCAACATATAATCAAGAGCAAGACACTTTTTCATCTCTCCAAGCTGCTATGCCCTGATCTGGCCACAATTCCACCTGGCATTTAACCCTGCATTGTTCTTGATAACCAGTCAGACTCCTGCCAAATCTTCAGGCAGAATGGGGTGTGGGACAGAAATGTCTTTTAAGCACTACTTCATGCAAGCTGCATTCCAAACCAAGGCGTCAGCTCAGCTCACAAATTATTGAGATGGCAATTAAAATCTGTAATGATTTATGAATACATTTTCCTCCAAGAAGTAGCAGTAAATGAAAACTAACTAAATTGGCCAAAGCAGATATCAGAACACACTAAAAACAGATAATTAGACTTAAGGGCTCATAGTTGTCATGAAGTGACAGAAACAAGACAGGTAACTTTTTAAAAATTCCCATTGAGAAGTTACCTGCTAACTAACCTGAATGCACGTATTACTTAGGAGAATAATGGGTTTTTTTTTTTTCTTCTTCTTCTTCTTCTTAAAAGTCTCCAAGTACATTGAATAAATGCCCAGGTAAAAAAAAAAAAAGTATCTTATTGGGAGGATCAGTTGACTGAAATATCAATGCGGCGGGGAACATCCTCAACCCAGCTAGTAGTTCCCACAGCAGCTCTGCAAAGAGATTTTCACAGACCCAAAGGGGTGCTCCCTGCTTCAGAGTAACAGTTGAGAGTTTTCTGCTGAGATAAAAACCATTTCCTTCATTGGGCTGACCATAAATCTATCTGATAGAAGGTGTCTATGTGGAGTTGATTCTTTCCCTTTGCACCCTGTCTTGGCCTGCAGTGCTCCCATCAACATTTGGAAGCAGGCTGCTGTCGGTACCCATTTTCAGAGCAGAGTGCAACTGCATGAGGCTCTGGGCTTACCGTACTCCATTTTTCCGTCCTAACTTTCTCTTCCTTTCTGGTCATGGCCAGAAATTATATGCATTTTTTAAATACATGCATTTTAAAGTCTTTTATTTCCTTAAGTGAAATTTAACAATTCAGCAACTAAAAAGTGTTACAACTATCTTAGTCATGAAACAACCATATTAGAAATAAGACAGACACAAACTAAAGAAACTGACAGCTGTGCAAACAATGAGGTGTCAGATCTGGTTACTTCTCCTTCAGCACAGGAGAGTCACACCACCATCTAAACCAAATTGTTACACATTTAACTATCATGACACTTTGAATAATAATAATTAAAAAAGAAAACCCTGAAGTCACAATGTCTGTTCTTTAACTCTCAGTTAAATGGAAGGACAGTGGCCGCTCGAAGACTCTCAGGGGAGCTAGCAGAGCTATTCCCAATGCTTACACCATGCTTCCATTTGCGGTTTGTATAAATTTCGAGGCATGAAGGGTTTTCTCACTACCAGCCCTCTAGGACCTGCACTGCCTGCCTTGCACTGCCTGTTCACCCAGCACCTGAGCCTCGTCCCGCGCAGCCAGCCCTGCAGGAACTGCAAGGCAGCGGAAGTGGGAACTTCACGCATTCTACTTCTGAAATCCACTTCCATTTACCTCTTGGACATTCTCACAGACAATGAAACTGTTCCCCACGTCTTAGTTATTTAACAACTGTTTGCCAGCCTGAGACTGCTGGGTCTGCCCTCCACGTAAACCTAAATCCTCGAGGTCTTGGAGTCACACATAGTCTGCACGTTGGGGGGAAATCATAGGCGATGTCTAACCTTTTCCCAGTGTCGTCAGAGACAGAGTCACTGAAACCTTTAATGGTACCTGACTCAGTGCAGCCGCCCACTGCACCTGAGAGCCCGTTCACAAAGACATTAGGAATTCTTTTCAAGACTAAGTGAGTTTGAGTGAAAAACTCTGATAGCAGGTGAGCAAATAGAACAAAATTTAAGTCAATAGAAATGACCTACTTATTCAACAAAAGTTGCAAATAACCGAAAAGGCAAAAAATAAAAAATAATAAAGCAAACCTCACCATCCTGGGCATACATGTTAGTTCCATTCTATAGACTCTCTTTGGAGAACTTCAATATTCAATACTGTATTTATCTGCATGATTACTCTGTCTGAGTGACAATAGACGAATGGGAAATGCAGTGTAAACAAACTGTCATGATCACTGGGATTCCGGTAAGTATTGCCAATTCCAACCTCAGGGTAAATTATTAAAAATATTATATTGTATGACATTTTTCAAAATTATTTTAACTATTACTGTTTACACACAGGATGTACATATGAGCAAACTATTTGATTATCACTGGCTTATTTAATTATTCAGCTATAAATATATGCCCCTGGATAGTACAGAATGAACATAAAAACCTCACCAGAAGGAAAAAGAATACAATGTTAGGAGATTTGAGCATTAGGATATTAGAGGGAAAAGTTTGGCTTAAAAGGAGATAATTGAAAAATACAAATAAAGTTCCCAGCAGGCAGCTCGCCTATATGGAGAACTAGGCTGCGGTCTGTTAATATGTAACCGCCTCTTTATAAGAACAAGCTGCTAACAGGTTACAGATCAGACAGAGTTTTATTTGCAATGATAAATAATAAATAAGTAAATGTCTAATCACAATTAAGGGAAATTATCATCGAAGTGTCCCTCTGCACATGCTAGAAAACTCCACTTGCTAACAAATCACTACATTATGCAATAATATGTTCCAATGTGAAAGTCAGTGTCCACACAGAAACAAGCCTACGTCTGCAGGGGAGAGCTAACTGCTCAGAAGAGTTAACAGACAAAACTTTGAAAAAATTAATTCTAAAGTGTTCCAATAGAAGCACCTTGTTAATTACGAGGAGGGAGCTCTCGGGGAAGTCAGTATGAGGGCATGCACTGCTGATCAGACTTATTCCCTGGTCAGACACTGGCTTCTCTCAGATGTGACCACCATGGCCAAGGCTTATTTTCTTCTCCTCACTTTTCCTCTCCCGTGGCTTTAGTTCCAGAATGTTTTAATCTTTGTCCTTTCTTTTTTCGTCTTTTCATATCAAATTCAGGCTTTTGAGTGATGAACAGCTTGACTTAGCATATTTTTAACCAGCTGGTCTAGCACCTAGCTTGCATTGCATAGTCAGATACAACAAATGTTTATACAGAAGGTATAGCTCGCATGGAAATGAAAAAAAGCCTGGGGAGCTTGCATCCTGGCTTTTTTTAGCTTTTTTTTTTTTTTAATTCACCATACAGAATACGAAGTTTCAGTTCTTTTTAATGGCAAACAGAAATCTATTTATAGTTCAAAAAATGAACTTATGCTAGGATACGAACTCAAAGTTAAAAACTGTAATGTATAATTACAGGGACACGAGGAGGGCTGGGATCCTGTAGGGCTCCCGTGTTCCCTGCAGCAGCGTCAAATGGAGGGGAGCTTCATACACCTCTTAAACAGGAACAACTAATTAGGGATACGTTTAACTCCCTCCCATCACAGCACAGCGGAGAGTGGAGCTTATCAAAATTCAGTTCAGACAACAAGCACAAAAGTGGCCCCCAAACTTAAAGAGGGGGTGTCCTGCTTGCTCCCTCCCCTTTTCGGACACCTCAAGAATCATCCACCACTATTTAACTGTGATGTTAAATTTTCCTCAGGAATAAAAACAACAGCCTGGCTCTCCCCTATCAACAAAAGCTCCTGCTTTTCCGAGCAGTTTCCAAAGTTTAACAGAGGGATCAAACGGGAATTTAACAGCCTCCGCTGCAACCACCACCGAAGCCTTCTGTCACTTCAGAAATTACAGGAGACAGAGATCCTGAATATGCTGGCCGTCTACAAAAGGTGTGTGGGGGGATCAATGAAGGCAGAAAGTGGGAGCCTGAGGAGGAAGAGAGCAGCCGCGGATGGGGGGGAGGAGAGAGAGATGCTTAATGTTCATTTAATTTCCTGCCTGTGATCCGACGCAACCTAAAAACATTAGCAGTAAGCTCGGAGGAGACTTTGCAAATCAGTTCAATTTGGTCCAGCGGCCACAACAGAAATCAGCTCCCGGGCTGCAGGGACCCTCGCTCAGAGCCGCTCTCTCACCCGCAAGCTGGGGGAGGCAGCTTCCAGCGGATTCACAGACTACTGCTAAACGGAAGAGTTTGCACTTCAGTCTATTAGGGGAAAGAAAAACCAAACAGTACTCACCTTTCAAACTCCTGAGGTAAATCAGGGTCAGTAAGCATGCTGGAAAAGCACAATTTCCCTTTGTCACCGCGGCCACCTATGATCGGCTCCAACTGAACCTGTCAAGTCAGTCCAAACCTTCTAAACCAATGGATTCTCTCTCTGTCTCTCTCTTCTCACTCTCTCTCCCCCTCTCCCTCTCCCCCTCCTCTCTCTCTCTCTCTCTCTCTCTCTCTCTCTCTCTCTCTCTCTCTCTCTCTCCTAGGACTCCTTGACCATTCTCTTAAAGGGGTAGTACACTTCTAGCGCCTGGCTGGCTGCTGCCGTCTGCACAGCCGCACGATCCCGCTGGCAGGCATTAGACAACCTCTCTCGGCGCCTGTCCTCTTAATTCTCTCTCCTGGACATCACTGAACAGTGGAAGTCAACCAGGCTCTCCTGCTCTCTCTCCTCTAAATAATAAAAGTCACACCACACGCACAGAACACAGACACACACACCACCGCCACCAGTATCGTTGTACAAAATACATTTGGGGCTGATTAAAAAATAACTTTATAATAACGGAGCCCCAATCAAACTGTGAGTATTGACTAATTAAGCAAAATGAGTGCACATTAGTCCCAGCAATTTTTACACAAAGAATTGTTATTCCTCACCCCCCCCACTCTCTCCAAGCGCACACGGAAACACACAAGCATGGGTGTGTGTGCATGCGCGCGCGCGCTCGCATGCACACACACACACACACACACACTCACTCACACACAACAATCAGGCATTGTTCTGAGGGAAGAAAAGCAACTTTGACAGATTGAAATATAGCAGAGGCCCCTTCAAGGAAACCTGTAAACAGGCTGTCACTCACTCTGCCGGGCTCGGGGCTCGCTCTTGCTTTCCACAAAGTGCTCTGAACATCCTGGCAGCCCAGGCAAAGTTTCTGCAGCTCCAAACTCCAGAAACCAGGCATGGAGGAGAGCAGGTATCTGCACGCCAAACACAGCGTGCAGGAGTGCAGGAAAACCCCAAACCCCGGCCAGAAGATGACCCCGACCTAAGCACTGTCCTGCTCCCAGTGGCTGGGGAGCTCGGGTGGGCAGAGCGAGTGTGCCCCCAGCCCTGGGGCCCTTTAATTTCCTCTGTCCAGGCAGGGACAGATAAGCTGGGCAAACTCTGGCTCTCCAAAGCCTAAGCTGCCTGGCAAGGCACAGCCTCCATAGCAGTTCCAATTATCTAGATAAAAATCTGGCAGGCGAGGAAGGTAATCAGGTAATGTACCTTTGACATGGAGTGTCAGAGGCACCTACAGAGGCACGGGGGATGGCGGCTGCCCCCACACCCAGCAGCATCCGGCTGAGAAGTAGGCACACACCAACACAAGATAGTGCTTTCCACACACGGTCCTCACACACATGCTATCCACTCCTACTGGGAGGGTTCATTGTGCACAAAAGGCTACATTACAGAGCCCGCCCCAATAAGGGAGAGAGAGGGAAAAAAAGCCTTCCATTGTTGAGAGGGCAGGTCAGTTGATTAGATTTTCTGTGGAGAATTCCACGAGGAAATTCCCTTCAAAGCCGAAGTGATTAACTGGGGCTCCTCTGGAAATAGGAGGGACAATGGCTCAATAGTCCGCACACCCAATGTCCAGGCTGGCACTGAGCTCACTTAAAAAAAAATAAAAATAAAAGCCAGACTCTGTGCTTTTCCATATGCCCCCCCGGCCCCCTCCGCTCCTTCCACCTCCCCCTCCCAGTCGCTTTTATTTGGCAGCTGGATAACATTAAGGGCCTTTAAAACCACAAGGGTTGACCCCACCGCACTTTGATTAGCTCCCACTTTTTTTTTTATCCTGGCGACAGGCGGACAGTAAGTTTACTTTTTTTCAGACATACACAATGACACGCCATACACATATTCCAAGTGAAAATCATGGATTGCTTTACTCCTGCTGGCGTATTTATTCTTTATTCAGAGCTAAGAAATTTGGGGACAAAGTTGAAAATATCTTAATCATGAGACCCGCCATTCAGGAGAGATCCAGAAACACACACACAGCTGAGTAGGATTTGAGCATGTCACTGTGGAGTCAAGACCCACCCTGAAAAAGCTCTTAACAGGGATGTGTCAAAATGACTCGCACTCATTTCAGCAGTTGGGGAGGGGGGAGAATGTTAGTCATTATTATTTTATGCCATTAGCCTCAAGTTATTTTTTTATTACAACACCAACCTACTTCTCCATAAAAAATGAGGAAGTCATAGCATTTATCATAAATATCTATTTTTTAATCTCTTAAGAGACCCATCTGCTAATGTGCTCTGATGGGTAATGTATATAAAATACTATTTTCTTCTCTTAATAATGATCACAGGAACTCTAGGGTTATAGTTGTTTTAAAATATTTAACCTTTTCTCTTTCTAATTAGTGACTATCGTTGTGTCTTGGATCAAGAGGAGATACTGAAATGAGAGAAAGAGTACGTTAAAGAGAATCATGGGAACAGGGACAGGAGAGGGGACATGGTGACAGCATAAAGCTGGGAATGACGGTAGGGGCCATAAGGCAGGATGCGGTGATGCTCATGGCCCCAGCTGCTGTCTACAGCGTCTGCCGCTGGCTGCTTTCTGATGCTCTAATCCTGAAGGTCACGAGCACAGGTAAGAAAGAGTGTTTTCAAAACCAACTCTACAATAAGAAAGGATCTTCCCCACCTTCTGTTTTGTTGGTATAGCCATGTAATATATGCATACTTAAGAAGTATACAAATGCCAAATAAACACAAATAACATATGAGAAATTGCAAATTGGTTTGAATGTCAGTTTTAGATCTGCAACTAATTATAGGGCTAGGGAGATGTCTCTGTGGGCAAGAGCTTTGCTATGAAAACGGGAGGACCTGAGTTCAAATCCCTACATAAAAGCCAGGAGTGGCCATGAGTTTCCCAGAAACACACACACACACACACACACACACACACACACGTTCATACACACCTTAAAAATTATATTACTTTTTGCACAGTTGTTTTGTTACAAGTTGAAACAGACTGAAAACCAGGCAGACAAAGGTGTCCTTTTTAAAAATGGCCACCACATCTTGGCAGTGAGAACTAACAGGAGGAGATCAGGAGATCAGGAGGAGCTTTGCTTGGGTCAGTTAAAACAAGGGTGTCACACAGCTTAGGCATGTGCCTCTGTGCACACCCCTCGCTCTGCCAGTGTTCACACGTGGGCACCGGGAAGGTGAAAAGCACACAGCTGGTGAGAAGTCCATTACACATGACGCTTGCAACATAATAATGGAGCAGCGACCCCCAAACATGGCTGAACAGATGGTTGACGCTGTTGTATGGGGCCCAAAAGGCTTTCAGGAAATTTTTACTCAAATTAAATTTTATAAAGTCTTCCCACTATGATAAAACTGTACTTAATATTTGAATAGCATGAACATTCTGTTTTTGTTTTTCTTTTTTTCCCCCCAAGATAAGTCTGATTGCATTACTATGGAGCCCCGCCTGGTCTTGAACTCATGGTCCTCCTGTCTCAACATTCTGCTTGTGCAGCTTACAAGATGAGCCAGCTGCAGCTCACAATGAGTACTTCCAAACATGCCTCAAAAGTTTTACTTTATTGTAATTCTATAATACAAGCCACAAGTCCCACAGTTCTAGAATGTCAGACAAAAAGAGAAAAAAAGAATGCATCCTAAACAATTATTCACAATCTGCCCCATTAGGCAACGATGTTAACCCAGCTATTCAATGTTTGAGATTAAGTATGTTACTTAAAAATGTTGTTAATTTGCACTAAATTTTAAAGTGCTTAAGTGTTTCATGACCAGCACATGATGCATACTAAATAAAACCTATAAAACGGCGTCAATTATTTGAACAGGTGAAGATACTCAGCTAGTTACGTAGCTGGCCCGACCCGTGTTAACACTGACATCATGACTGATGGACTCCTACTCACAATTAGAGAAAATTTCAGAGCCTAAATGGATTGAGACACACTGGCGTTCACTTTACCCCTGTTAAATTATCATCAGTATGCCAAGCACTATGATTTCAACAGAATTCAAGAAAACTGTGCAATAAACTTAACTGTAATAATAATTATAGTGATTTTATTATTGTTTTAAAAATAGCATCTCCTTCTATAGTCCAGGCTAGAGTAGTGGAACTTCCATGTCGTCTAGGCTGGCAGCAAACTTTTGGAAATTTCACTCAGTCCCCTGCATGCTGGGTTCCAAGGATATCCACTTCACAAAAACAATCAAGGGACTGAATCTCAAATGGTCGGTCAATATTCAAGCCTTCCACGTTGAAGACGGAAAGAAGCGTTAAAACCACAACCAAGCCCACTGGTGAGAAGTGAACTACATTTAGCTGTTGTTGGGTTCACGGATTCTGTGCTTAAGTGCAGACATGGAGCCACAAATTCATCTTCCCAGGTGACCGGGGCACCCAGGAAGAGACAGGCCTACAGGCGTTGCGCGCTTGGTGAAGTCTGTCCGTGCTGGTACGGTGTCATCATGGAAAACGGAATGAACGCGAGCAAGCGTGCTTGCAAGCTCGTGTTTCCATTGCAAATAGAAGAGAAGAGCCGCACAGGCAGAAGAACTGGGGGCCGGCTGCGAACACTGCTGCAAAACCTCCGAGAGAACCCCAGAACTCTTCAGAGGATAGCACGCTACTCCTCCGGGAGGGCCCTTTTCAGAGCCCCCTGGGTTCCCTCTGCCTCAGGACAGTGCCCCTTCCCTTGTTCAGGGCCGGACGTTAAACATCGTCCACATTAAACCGGTAAAGGCCATGGGCCGGGGTGGGGGGTAGTGGGTGGCAGCTGCTTCTACCGTCGGGAGCAGTTTTCAGCCTTGGCACAATTAGAAGGGCTGTTTCGAGAGAGAGAGAAACTACTCCGAGCGATGGCCATGCTAAACTCAGAGACCATGAGAGTCGGACAATCGGCTGACCCTGACCCACAGGCACACTGTTAACTTCGGTTTCCAATCCTCCCCAGCCCCAAAGTGAACGGAGGCTGAGCCACTCACAGTCTCAGAGGCTCGCCACCGGCTCACACACCACTGGAAACTCGCCGCACAGTGGCTGAGGCCTGGAAGTGTTGGAGTCCCTCCAAAAGCACCTCTGAACTACCAACCTGACC